CATACAGGACACAAAGTAATTAAAACAGCATAAAACATCAGAAGAAGGCTGTTTTTACGTACAGTAACACGTACAGTTACACCAACTGGAGCAGGTTTACCGTTTGCTACTACATCAGGGCAGAGGTTTTGATGGAAAGAACTGGTCCTGTTCAAAGAAAAATGCTCGTACTTATAAACACAAAGCATCTGTGACCTTTTACGTCAATGTGGATTACACAGACTGAGCTCATCAGACTACGTGTCATCGTTATGATATCAACTATTACAGGAAGACACACACCATGACTTATGTGCCAGTTTATTTTTGGAGCCAGATTCGCTCCAATCAGTTGGTGTATGTACTTTATAAACTGACCACGATAACCAAGGCATCTATTAACCCTTTAATCACACTCATACCAGGTTAATATTTGATCCAGGCACAAGGACAAAGCTCTGTTTACTTTTAAATCTACAAAATGTCCTTCTATTACTGCCCCCCCCCCCCCCCCCCCCCCCCAATTACACATCAGCCTCTGAAAGAAGTCAGACTGTTCAAATACAACCAGTAGAAATCAATTAGAGGCTATTTTTAAAACAACATAAGTGTTGCAGCTAACACTTTATATATTGATCCAATTAAATATTCACAATGAACGGTGATTTAGCGACAGTGAGCCGATTATTATGCTCATACACACTCAACAAAAACCCAACCACTGGTATCGAGGACTCAAATATTTTACTCATTTATGTACAATAATCTGTCGTCTATATCAACCGGTTCCACTTCATTATCTCCTGCAGTGGAACAATATGCCATGACAATGCAAATATGCAAAGACAACTTTTATTTACAGAGAAGTCCGAGCTGCACATTTCATCTTGTAAAGCTGTTCAGTCGCAAACATATAAGAAATAAAACCCGCCTCCCTCCAAAAATCCACCTTTATACAGTTCTTTATACATGTGCACAATTTATTCTACTTTTGGGACATACTCTCTAATGGACAGGTAAAGAGATACAGAAGATACTTTTTTTTTTTGGTCTCATTCATGAAAAAACTCGTAGTAACTGTTTGTGAACCAATTTAAAAAAACACCACATTTAAATGTATTGTTACTTTACAGATGTATTAAACATATTGAATAATCTAACAATTTGAGGCATTCTTCGAAGTTGTAACATTATTAAAGTCGGTTTTATTACACATTTTTGTAACCCGTAATAAAGTAATAAACCAGAGGAGCCCAAACATTTTCCTTTGGAGGGCAAAAATTTAAACTTAATGGTCGATAAATAAATAATAATAAAGCACTTGTAGATGCAAAATGGTACTAGGATCCCAAGTTTCCTTAACTGACTGACTTACACTACACTACACACTTTGACTACACTATACTCACAAATAATAAAACCACATAAAAAATGATTTATATGATATATATATGTATATATATTTGTTAGAATCATCTGGCAGGTCACCTGGTTTGATTGACTGGTGATCAAACAGGTGAATAATCAGCGATCGAGCAGGTGACAGGAGACACATTTTAAATCAAAAGTTCCCACAAGCCTTACTCTACTTACTTCAAAATCCAGAAATATGAAATGTATCACTTCCTGTTCACAGCAGAGCTTTACCAGGCACAGACAGTTCGGGACAGCTACTGAGTAACGCTTCCATGAACTGACAGGAAGTTGAATCACCGTTGTATTTTAAACACAGACCAGCAAAGGGGACATTTAGTTTTTGTGAAATTTATTACAGATTATCAACACTGCATTCCTACATCTTGAAGCAACTAGAGGAAAGTGACGCTTCCAAAAAACCGAGAGTCAGACGGAGGAGCACTGGCCTGCTCCACTGCGACTGTAAAAATAAGGTTGAAGAAGAAAAAGATCTTTTAATGCTTCCTGCTGCTGGTTGCTGTTCTTAATGTATTGCCTGCTCAAATAAAGGTTAAATACATTTTTAAAAAGTGTGTTGCTTGCCCAGAAAAAACGTCTGCTTCAACTTTAGTCTGTGCTGCATGAACTGTGTGTGCTGTGAAAACCAGAATATCAGACTAGACTCTGTAAATGTGCTGAATCAACTCTTTGTAAACAGTCTATGTACCTTACAATATGTACTGAAAAGGCTAGTTTATTTTCAGCTACTTCCATCTATTCTTTGCATCATTTTGTCATTTTTTTGTTATTTACTTGAGAGCCTCAAACAGCACGCTTTTCCACCCAAAAGCTAAAATTGAATTGCGTAGAATGCCTTTAAAGGACCAGTGTGTAGGATTTAGTGGCATCTAGTGGTGAAGTTTTAGACTGCAACTAACCGCTCGCATTTGGATTTGACGTCCTGGGAATGAGAACCGGCTGTGAAGTGTGCAGGAAAAACTATAAAAGTATGAAAGAGAAATGCGAAAAGCCCCATTTATAGCCAGAAATCTACAGCCGGTTCAACATGGTGGACTCTGCGGAGAGCTCCACGGTGTCTGTAGATAAAAACGGCTCATATTAAGGGAATGAAAACACAATTCCTAGATTCAAGTGATTATAGACTAATGAAAACATACCTATTAATATAATTTTCCATTTCTGCCAATAGATCCTCCTAAAAGTTACACACTGGATCTTTAAGGGAGATACAGTAAATACATTCAGCATGAATTGAGGAGGTTATTTGGTTGTTTGTCCTAAGTCATATCATTCTGGGAATCATAGAAATAAGCAAATATTACGAATAAGATACTAGAACTAACTTTTATAAAAAAATAATTAGCTGTACAGTGTGAACAGGCTTACAGTTTTATTAACAGTGTCACTTTTAGGTACTGGGAGTCAAGGGAGCCCTGACCGACAGCAGTGCTATCTATGTTCAACCAATGGAGCTGTGACAAAGAAACACACTCAGTGCAGTGTATAAAGCTTAGGATACATGTACCTCTAGTTCACCTTTGTAGAACATCCAGAGATCTACTTTTTAAGTTCAGAGTATAGATTTGTGATTTGTATTGGGATGGGTGCTGCCTGTGGTTCTCTAAATCAGGGGTCTCAAATTCAAACTGAATTTTTATTTTAATTGTATGTGAAGGAGTAGATTAAATCGATATGATACAACTAGAAGAAAGAAAAAAAGGTGGATTGTACTATCATGTTGTGGCCGGAGGGAGGGCCGGCAGTTTGAGGTCCCCGCGCTAAAGTCTTGTACTTTCGGTACATGCGCTAAAAAACACTCAAACATTTGGTAGAAAGTGACAAAATTCACAGAAACAATCGACTTCCAGCAGCAGCTCACATTAAGGTGATGATACCTCATGTACACTTGGTCATTACAGTGATTGTATGTGATGCCTGATACATTTTTCTATATTTTATTTCTTTTCTCTTAGGCTCGGTGTGACAAGGAATGTGAAGATACAGGTTTTTTTGTTGTTGGTTTTTTTTACAGAAAATTACAGTGATTAATCAGAGATCACGTAATCACAGCAAAAACAATTTTAAAATGTGCTCAAAACAATATTATTACACACTCTGCAAATCAACCCGTGTCTCGTCTACACACTTCTACAGTAGTGCATGTGTGTTCGATCAGTTTCCTCTTCACACAAGTGAATCATTTCAGTGAATGTCTCCTATGAGCTGCTAACACCAAATTAAAAATCCACACATTGCAGTGCAATCAGTAAACTACTTTTGATTCACACAGATTAAATAATAAATGCGAGAAACACTATTGTCTCAACTCATGCTCGACCGTACGCCATGGGTCAAAATATCAGGATATATAACTGTAACGCACAAGAACTGGAATAATGTATACAGCAGCATTGGATCAATTGTAGCAACATGACAAAGTTTACACCACAGAGTCATGTTTGCATGTTTGGTAACCTTGATCTTTTTTTCCATCCAGACTCCACAAAATATTGCTTATAATATTAGCAGTGAACAACAAGCAGATAATGATTCATGAAAGTTTCATATCAGATTAAATCAAAAGTCATTACACTTAAAAAAGATTTGTCTCCTAAATACACCAAATGCCAGCAATGATTCGGAAGTCAGTCAAGTCTCTTTTAAAAGGTGGCAAAGGGAGTGATTTTAGTTTTTAGTGAAGATTGTCCCACCTATTCTATATTCTAAAATTATTCTCCTGTATTTCAGAGCAAGTATTCACATTAACAGCAAAATTATTTCACTCCAGTTGTTTAGATTTGAGACGTATCACATGAAGTTAGATCTAGAATAACGTCCAGAATTAGTGCCATCAAATTATTGCTGATTATACACTAAAAAAAAAACCAACCTAGAATATTAAATTCCATTTCTGCCAACAGAGCTTCCTATAATGTTACACACTGGACCTTTAAAGATGTGTAGTTTAGAAGCCGGCGATTTATGAAAAAACTTCCTGTTGAGAGTTTTAAATATTTGTTGGAATAAGGAATCTGGCTGGTGGTTTGCCCCTCCGCTCATCCTCACCACTTAAAAATCTCATTTACCTTCTTTTTGCTTTATGCTTTGCAAATCAAGGACAATAATATGCAAATTGTGTTGACCTGCATGAAGAGCTGCTGTCCTTAAGAATCCATGATATATAATGTTTGTGATGAGGACGTCATGGTGCCTGGCAATGATTCTGCTGTTCTGTGCTATTGGTTTTGACATAAAAAAAAGGTTTTCTAATAAAATCAAAGAGTAAAAAAAAAAAACAGGTTTATATAGACGAATCCTTGTATGTGCTTAATTATGTTGTTTTATAAAAAGGTCTCTTGTTAGCATATTACTGAGGGACAGTGAAAGTGTTTTCATGCTTGGGGCTCTTTATTTTTATTTTTTTATAACACGAGCCTGTTAGCTCTGAGAGGTGGACACATTTAAGTGGTTTTGAGGGATTATCCTGTTTGTTTGTCTAATAAAATATCAGAAAATGCATTAATTCCAGTCATTTAGAGTAACATTTGGTAGAGCCCATATTGGCATTTTTACTCTGCATCATATTAGGCTACGCACCCATGCATACGCAGTGTTTACTGTAGTTGACTGTCAATCAAACAGTTTGATGTTGTGCAATCAATCCAAGATTCAGAAGAACAATTGATGATAAATACCCCATCAACCCCCCCAAATCCTCAGTGCAGGCTCAAATGTAGAAACAGTGATGGTATTATTATTCTGATTCATCAAAACAGTTTAGTATAATGTACCTTTTCCTAAGCAACCTTTATGTGGATTTCAGTTCCTCTTTTGCCATCATGCAATAACTTTATACAACTAAAGGGCAGAGCTGAACCTAAGGAAAGAAACTGAGGGCTGTGTGAGGATATTTTTTCTGTAGTTTGTGTGTGTGTTTTTTTTTTATACACTTAAAGACATGCTGACCACTGACCAAGGTACTGGCCTTAGAACTGCAGTTGCTCTCCAGGCACTGCACTGTGGCTTTCAACTGCCGCTAAATAGTTCGGACAGGTCAAATGCAGAGGACAAATTTCCCTGCTGGGATTTTAAAAAACACAACGTAACTTGATAAGTTACACTACATGACTCACTCTCTCCCCCCCACACCAACCAGTGAAAAATGTCCATCAGTAACAACAATTCAAAAAAGCAGCCATCTGCTTTTTTCATTTCAGCGTAGCTTGGCAGCTTCTGTGAGGTCATCAGAGGACTGTGCATTGAAAATAAGCACTCACTGAACAATGTGTCAAATGGTAATGGATGGAAACTGATCAGTTCAAGTTACAATGCATAAAATGGTCGGCTAATTTGGCAAATGAAGGCACTGAAAGAATGAGTGTTTGATTAAATACATCTCTACACTGTACTGGAGTATAGAGATGCACAACATATTCCCGCAGCATCAGAGTCTCGGATCACAGAATATGAAGAGAAAGTAAGTACATTTCCATTTCATGAGGCAAAAAGCTGGTGAGCTTTGACATGAAGAGAACACACAAACAAACGTCTCCTTTGGTGCTGGACACTATCTGTCCTGGTTGTCCAACCTGAGGCCACGGTCCGAGGTGTCCTCAGAGGGAGTGTCTAGGACAGGATTGACAAACCCTTGAAATTCAGTGTCTGCATTGTCCTCTGGATGCGTACTCACAAAATCATTCTCCCACTCCAGCGCGTTGGAGTCCTCGGAGGCCGAGGTCGGGCCGCTGTTCATCTGCTTGCTGCCGGGCCTCAGGGCTGCGCGCAGGATGTCCTCCTCCGTCCGAGACCTCTCCCAGACCGGAAGTGCACGATTGATTCCTACGGCGCGAGGACACAAGCTTTTATTCTGACAGCAGAATTCACTAAAGTCAGAAAAGTGCTGCAGGCAGTGATCTGGTGCTTCAGAGAGAATCAAAGAAATCTGTTTCTACTCAAGACTTTCTAATCCGAGTTTAAAACTTTACAAACTACATTTAACTGTATTTGTATGGATTTAATGGAACCTAACTTAGATGCTATATATGTATGTAGGATCTTACAATAAGAGCTGACTTGACCATTTATATCCATCAGGCTGTAATACAAGAAAAGTAGTAGTGGGGAATAAATAAGAAAGTGCCATGAGCCGTAAAGTATAGCAGCCCTTGTGAAGCCAAAGGGGGACCCACAGTCCCAGAGTGCCCAGCTTTTGAACAATGCATAATAATACCAACAGCCTTTTGTAAACTATATTAAAATTAAAGAGATAATAGAGAAATAGGACGCACAAAGTGTGTTTTAATAGACAAAATTGACTGAAAATCTTTGCTGATTCATGTTTTCCTTTACATACTGACGTGCAGGAAAATTTGAACACTTTTGTTCCAAATGACACATCAGGAGGAAAATACAACTCAGTGACATCCCCACAGTCTGGCAACAGCACAAAGATGGCCGAGACGAAATGAATAAACAGACCGGTGCCCAAAAAACGGCACAATAAACTGAGATCATCAGATTTTACTGCTGATGTTTGGATGTGAAAATCCTGTCAGTTGTGAAGGATGCATTCCTCAGGAGTCAGGAGTCAGATAAGAGGGAAATGCATGCATTGAAAGTCTGAACTCCGCAACTCTATTTCCAGAAGTATTTAAGTCATACTATAGCTCCCCTTGAGCACTGGCTAAAGGAAGACCACCTGAGAATCCACAATTCGGATTCTGCTGAATAGCGACCAAGAAACCTTACATACTGACATGTCTCATAAATGTTATTCATACATTTGGATGGGACTTCTAAGGAAGGATTGATACATATGAGATATACTGGATGCACTGTGTACAAATGGCCTGTTCTGCCTCTTCCTCCTCCTCTTTGCTGCAGTGTCACTGAAAAACAGAATCAATCTTGGCAGAGAAATAACCGGAGTCCTGGTTCGGAGAAAGCTCTGAGTTGGTCGAATGTCAATCAAATGTTTAATGGATCAGTGATTTGAGACAGACCAAAAACTACTTCATCTTTGCAGCTGAAGAGTCAAAGGAAAGACTCAACTGCTCAGCAAGAAAACTTAGCTTTCCAGTTTGAGCTGAAAATGTAACTCTCACCTTCCTCGTCCTCCCACTCTAGATCCAGTGAGGTCCCGTCATCGTTGGTGGAGCGAGTCTTGGTGGTGAAGTCCCAGCTGCACTCTGTGTTTGGAGTCACCACGTTGGTGTCAGAGGGCAGTCCTGGAAACAAAGAGGCAATTATTGTGCATGTTACGCTTAAACCTTTTCATTCAAACGCAGTATACCCTGAGCTTATGAACAAATGTATGTATACCTGTAAATTAATAGTAATATAATTAAGGCTTGATGGTTCACTTACTGTTACTCCTAAAAGCCTCTGACTGGGCTTTTATATTCTGCAGGTGGACGTCAAAATCCTCCCCAGAGGTTTGTCTGGAACAGGCCATAACAACAATCAACACAACAATAACAGCAACCGTAAGTCATAACTCATAGCTTTGACCTCCTGCTGAGGTTTTTCTGATAACTGTTCTTTAAATTTGGATGAGACAAGAGCTAAATACTGCGCTCAGCTCTGTGTGCTTATAGCTCCTTTCTGGCACAGTGAAGATTTAGTTAAGCATTGAATTCTGAGACCGGATACCTTGTAGTGCTTTAATATCTGTTCTGCAGCCTACACACTGCGAGACTGCAGGGTCAAACAGTGTGCTCGCATTATTAAATCAATGTTTCTGTTTAGAGCTTAAAAAATGAATACTTAAGATCCCTTTAAATACATCCAGCACTACGGTCTATAAAGTATGTCTCCTTTAGTACCTACTAAAACCTACGCAGAACCACATGATCGCAGCTTGTCCTCAGCTAAACAACAATCCCGTTGTCTAATGAACTTAAATGACTCACTTTCTTTGCTGAGTTTCACCGCCGGAGCCATCTGCTTTGCCCCGTTTCCTCTGGGCAGACAGCTGCTAACAATAAAACCACAGATCAAGTAACAGATCAAGTCACAGAGAAGTAAAAAAGATCATATCTCCCCATGAATAAAATACAGACTATATTAATGAAAAACAATTTCAGTGTTATTAAGGAAAGGTGAGCAAATAACTTTAACAAAACAACACCAGAAAAAGCAGTGGGATGTTGAATGAGAAGCAAAGAAATATGTAAATCTTTTACAACAGTCCCATTTTCATGATAAAAATGAAATGAAAAACAGTTTTTCCTGCAGGAGGCCTTTTTCTGAAACAGTATAGGAAAGATAAAGCCATGATTTTGACCTCGCTGCAAGACCATTATGTGCCAATAGTCCACATTTCTCTATTCAGTGATGATAAAAGCCAGGCAAAAATAATTAGATTATTTGCTATGTGGGCTTCATCTTTTCCTCATTTCACTGCTTGTGCTTATGAATAAGGTTCATTTCCAGTTTTATGTCTATTGGCACTTTGATCTTTGCTGTATATTACACATCATTTACTGGATGTTATTCCATCCTGAAGTGAAATACATGTGTAATCTTTTGCTTCTCTAAGATAAAGTGATGGAAATATTTATGGTTAGCATCGTTCCATTGCAAATATAATGTGTCTAAAGGATTACTATGAATGCTTACAATGCTAAGAAGTTGTTTGTCAGGTGAAAGAAGCACTGAAACAGACAACAATATCCCCGACAGGACAACAAGGACTTGTTAATGAGGACAAAAAGAAGACTGAACAGAGAAAATATCAAGGTTTCCCTTTAAGAAGGCTGAGGACTTGCTGGGAAGCCTCTGCACAGGGCCAGCAGGTTAGAGGAGAAGTTGTTTTAGCCAAGCAGTAAGTCAAACTGGCAGAAGGGAGCGCTCAGTGCCGCCTCACCTCCTTCAATTTGCGTTCACGTGCCAACCTGGCGGCCTCACGCTGGGCGGCATTTCTAGCCTCTTCTTCTAGCCTTAACTTCTCCTCTTGTGCCTCTAACTGAAGCAGAAATAACAAAATGAAACAAACACAAAAACACAGAACAGAAAATTACAAAACAGAAAAAACAATGCAAGCAAATTAAAAATAAGCAAAAATATGTCTTAAACATAAAAATGAAATAACGGGGACTGTTAATCTAACAAAGACCTTTAAAGATGCTCTTTTTGAAGTTTGTCTTACCTCCACTTGTAGCTTCTGGTCTATCAGTCTCTGCTTGTCTGTGATGGCAGTGTAGCGGTGCTCTTTGAGGTGCTGGATCTCATCTTCACTGATGGGCCTTGTAAAAGAAATAAAACATACTTGAAGGTAAACTGCTCCTTTTAAAAACAATATTTTTGTAATATAAGAGCATAATATAATATATATATATAATTAGAGTACTCGTGATTATGTTTTTTAGGTTGACAGCAGGTCTCTTACCTCAGGCAGGGCTGTGGACTCTCAGCCTGCAAAGCAACAAACAAAATCTTACCAAACAGCAATGTGAAATGCATCTTCCCCGCTGCACTGTTTGACTCAAGTGCTACTAGTCTGGGACTCTGCAGACAGTAATTGAGTTACTCTCTGACTGCTGTACCACAATGATGGGTGCGCATCGGGGCACCCATCATTTTCTATCCATCAGTGGAGGATGGCTAATGGGAGTCTGACAGTAAAAAGTACCCTGGGAGAACAGCATAGTTCAGCTTTTAATTAGACATACGTCGTATACTCAAGTCTATTACAATTTAATTGGTTCCTACACAGCAATAATACAGTTGAGAGAAAACTCACTAACAATGTTTTTTTCCTTAAACTAATTTACTGAAAGGCTCTAACACACATCAGGAAGATCAGACTTACCTCATCGCTCTCTACCAGATTTTCAAACTGCAAAATTAAAAGTCAGAATTAGACATATAATATTATACTGAATCGTCATTATTTTATTTTATTTTATTTTTTACACATACCTCTATTGTGTAATGCTCCCCTGTGGTACTACTTCGGAAATATTTTGACCTGCATGAATAATAAGAGAGCATGAACACACCTGTAATGTTAGACAGTAAAAGGTAGACGATGGCTTAAACAATTAAAAGGCGGGGTAATGATTATAATCCAGTAAACTTGTTTTCATATTCAGCAAATATCTCCAGATCCACTCGCTTCCTGCTGTGTGTGAGTGTGTGTGTGTGTGTGTGTGAGTGTGTGTGTGTTTGTGTACTGATGTTTGCACACAGCCCTGGTTCTGTGGGTAACACAGTGTACACAGCCATGCTGCAATGACCACAAGACTGTAGCTTGTGATTTTACTGTGCTGACTAATTTGGTTTGGTGTCAGTCATTGGGCAGCTACAGTATCACAGTGTGTATGTATGTGTATGTATTTGTGTGTGTGTGTGTGTGTGTGTGTGTGTGTAACACAGTACAATGTGTATATATACATCTCATGTAAAAGCCTAAAGTCATAAATAAGTTTGGAATCTTAAAAATGCTTGGAAAAAAGTTAATGACTTTAATTAACGACCAAAAACCTGTTTTGTGGGTTTATTACTGATGTCCTAATAATGTGTTTACATGCAGGTATTTAAATTTGTAGCTCGGCCTGTGAGTAATAAATAATGAGTCTCTAAAGATCCAAGGTATGTAGGAATGTCTGCATTTAAGAGTTAATGGGTTAATTGTTTTTCAGATATTTTGACGTGTGACAGCAAGATTGTTAATAAAGGTTCCGTCTTAGAAATAATAACAGGACCGTGGAACAGGCTCGCCTGCAGAGAATGCAGCCATAATTAACATTATTGATGACAACTTCGTCTGCAGTGAAACTGGTCTATTGATCTCTTTTGTTTGAAACCTTGAGGCAAGTTGCACTCGCAGTGACTTCACAGCTGGCGGTCGGACGGGTTTTGTGACATAACTGATCGGGAATGTTTATATATATATCACGCGATTGTTCAAATTATTTGAAGATTGGTGAGAAATTGGTGAGATTAAATTGTGGTGTCAAGGCTTCAGTTTCATTTCACAAAAGTAAACATGCTTTGTTTTGCACAGTTTATAAATACAAAATGATTCTATAATGTGATAAAGAAAATTATTGTGAAATATTATAATTTATCTTCAAAAAATCGAAAATAAATCATGAGACAATTGCATTGTGAATCTAGTATCATGAACTGTATCGAACTGTGAGTTCAGTGTATTGTTACATCACTATAATTGACTTATTAAACCCCTTTTTTTCATTATGTCCTTGATTAAGTTAAGATTTAATAAAGTTTTTAGGATGTTCAATCTCATGTTTATGTCAAATAAAAATTCAAATTAAACTTTATTTTCTTCTTTCTCCAACAGTGTATTAAGTTTAGAACAAAACCTGACATATATTACTCCAGTTGAGATGGTTTCATTTTACAATCGTTAAAACCTGAGCTAATCAAATCAAATCTATTAATACAGCACATTTAAAACAAATTAAAGTGCACAGCACATCTGTAAAAGAGGCAAAGCAAATATGTGCACACATTTAAAAACATAAAAACAGAGACTTGTAAGAACAATACATAATAAAAGATATTATATTATACATTTTTATATTTATAAATGCCAATCAGAGCAGCACTAGAACTACTACTGTATCTGTCAGCTCCAGTATGTGAAAACAGCGATGAATGAGTGTGAAACATCTTGCTGCTGGAAGAGAAATAAATCCTCTGTCATCTAAAAGCTCCAGGGACAGTCAGACAAAAAAGAAACATCAATTATTAACATTACATTTGGTGACACAAGGGCCTGCAAACAACGCCAAACACAGAGAACTGGACCTAATATAAGCACCAGGGTTGAGATTAAAGCCAGTCTGAATGAGCAGCCACACACATTAATCTACAGTCATTAATAAAACACTATAAACAACCCTGGATCACTCTGGGCTCCCATTTAATTGGACTAGTGAACTACATGTCCCGACTGTTGACAATAAGGGGTGGGGTCTTGATCTGTGCTGTGTGGCTGCAGGTTCGAAACCCACAGAGGTTTACACAGCAACCTTTTATCTCTCAGTGTCACAGCACCCTGACACCAGGCCTGCACACTCAAGTGTTATCGCCTCACCAACTTTCAGTCAGCACAAAGTAACCGGATACTTTTTTTTTTTTTTTTTAATGCTAACAGTTAGCTCACCTAGCTCCCATTTTTTTTTAACTCAACTCACCCGCCTCCTCTCTGGATCCGGTTGGCTTCTCTCCTGAAGAGCCCGACACATTGTGCCCAGCAGTTACCCATCGCATTGTCAAACTGTGTGCTGTTATCGAGCTGTCCGAGCCGGTTAATGTGCTGCTGACAGCTGCTGCTGCTGCTTCACTGTACACAGACACATCTCCAGAGGTCTGCAGCCACTTCCTCATCCTGCTTCCTCTCTCCACACACACTGAAGGCCCAACACCGCCCCCCACTGTCCGTGTGTGGGCGTTTCATTATTGTTTCTTATTTAGGGTTTAGGTTAA